ATAGTCCAATCTCTTCTTAAAATCCTGCAGTGCTGGAGGACCCACATTTGAAAGGCTGTCAAAGGGAAGGCTTGGCTTTATGTTTACTCTCTGTAGCACCAAAGGACAAGAACCATGAAGGGGAAGCTTTATATAAGTGAAAGAGTAAACAAGGAGTAATTTCCTGACTGTGAGAGCTCTTAAGCAGTGGGGCAGCCTGGTGGTTTTCAAACCAAGGCTAACCTTTTTTTCTGGAACGGTATAATAATTCCTGCCTGTCGCAGGGGGCTGGACTAGGCCTCCAAGGTCCCTTCCAACCCCATGACTGGATGTATGGGTAGTCCTCAACTTACAACAGTTCATTTAATGACCATTCAAAGTTACAATGGCACCTAACAAATTGACTTATGGCTGTTTTTTTCACACTTATGACCGTTGCAGCATCTCCATGATCATGTGATCAAAATTCAGGCGCTTTGCAACTGACTCATACTTATGACGGTTGCAGTGTCCAAGGGTCACCTCTTGTGACCTGCAAAGCCAACGGGGAAGCCAGATTCATTTAATAACCATGCTACTCAACAACTGCAGTGACTCACTGACATTTGTTAAGAGAACTCTGCCCCATTTTACGACCATTTGTGCCACAGTTGTTAAACTGTGGCACAAATGGTCGTAAAATGGGGCAGAGTTCTCTTAACAAATGTTTCACTTTTAGCAACAAAAATCTTGGGCTCAACTGCGGTCGTGAGCTGCATGTTCTTTTTCAAGTCTCCCCAAACTTACCCCACCACTGTTCCTTTCCTGGCTTTTTCCCCAGCAGTTATGCCATTTAAAGCAGAAGCACCAACGTTGGAATTGGAAACCTCGCATATTCTGTCTTCAGAATTAGGCAGGGGGTCTGAAGTGCCAGCCAAAGACCTCGGGGAGCCACGCCGACTGTTGGGCTTCGAGTTTCCTAGGCAACCTGAAAGAAAAACAAGACAGGTTTCTCACAATGCTTTTTCCAATCTTGAAAGAATATATACATCTAATACATAATACATATTTGCCATAAGCAAGTCCATCCCTATTGGTTTCAGATGCAAATTACCTTTTATTCTACCAGATCTGTCAGCAACAACATGGAAAGCTGTGTGCAGCATAACTACAGATTAGTCCTCATCTTACAACCCCAACTCAGCCCAAAATTTGCACTGCTAAGCAAAGGCAGTTATTAATAGCACTAGCACTTAGACATATAGTGCTTCACAGTCCTCTCTAAGTGGTTTACAGAGTCAGCCTCTTGCCCCCAAAAATCTGGGTTCTCATTTTACCCACTTCGGAAAAAACGGAAGGCTGAGTCAACCTTGAGCTGGTCAGGACTGTGGGGCAGAGTTAGCCTGCAATACTGCATTTTAACCCCTGCATTTCCAGAGCGAAGGAGGGAGGGAAGGAAGGAAGGAAGAACACCACCACCACTTATATACTGCTTTGCAGTGCTTTTACAGCCCTTTCTAAGCAGTTTACAATGTCAGCCTATTGCCCAAACAATCTGGGTCCTCATTTTACCAACCTTGGAAGGATGGAAGCCTGAGTCAACCTTGAGTCAGTCAGGATCGAACTGCCAAATTGCAGGCAACCGGCAGAAGTAACTTGTAGTACTGCACTCTAACCACTACGCCACCGTGAGCTTTGCCCCATTTTACGACCTTTTCTGCCCCACTTCTTAAGTGAATCATTGCAGTTCTTAAGTGAATCGTGCGGTCATTAAGCAAATCTGGCTTCCCCCGTTGACTTCGCTTGTCAGAAGGTAACAAAAGGTGAACACATGATCTCGGGATGCTGCAACCATCATAAATGTGAGCCAGTTCCCAAGTGCCCTAATTTTGATCATTTGACCAGGGGGATCCTGCGACGGTCATTAAGTGTGAAAAAGTCATGTTTTCAGTGCCGTTGTAACTACAGTCACTAAACGAGTGGTTGTAAGACAAGGACTATCTGTGATGGTGTATCATTGGATGGGTGGAAAAAATCTGAATATTTTTTTTCTGTATATGTACAGGCTGTAAACTAATCTTTTTCAATCTCTATACCACACAGTCTTTTTGCTCACTACAGGTAATCCTCTACTTACAGTTAGCTTAGTGACCGTCTGAAGTTACAACGGCACTGAAATAAATGACTTGTGACCATTTTCCACACTTATGACCGTTGCAACATCCCACGGTCATGTGATCAACATTCAGCAACTTGGCAACTGACTCCTATTTATGACGGCTGCAGTGTCCCCCGGGGTCACTTGATTCCCTTTTATGACTTTTCAGCAAGCAAAGTCAACGGGGAAGCTGGATTCAAATTAACAACTGCAATGATTCGTTTAACAAATGTGGCAAAATGGAAAGTGGTAAAATTGAGCTTAACAAATGTCTCGTTTAGCAACAGAGATTTTGGGCTCCATTGTGATCGTAAGCTGAGGACCACCTGTATTTGACAAAAAGCTCTAAGCTCTTCTCCAGCTTTAAACAGTTCTGTGGGCATTTCATCCTGCAATCATCGGTGGTTTGCAGCCCAAATTGGATTCTATTGTAACTGCTCTAACAGCAACCACGTATAGAAGGGCAAGAATCTAAAACTCACAAGCAGCAAAATGGTATTCAGAGGCACACGTATTCACCAGGTAAGCTTATACCTTCAGAGGAAAGCTGACAGTCTGGCTTCAGAAGGATATTTCCATCCCCGCAATCCATCGCTCTCCGCAAAGACAGGCTGCCTGCTGCCCCTGAGCGACCAGCTTTAGTTGAACTGTTTTTCTTATTTGCAGCTACAGGATTAAAAAAGAAAAAAAAAACTTCAGCTTTAAAAACAAGTAACATTTTAAAAAGAGAGACATAAGGTATATCTGGCTGAGACTTAAAAGAGAGATCACCCCATATCATTACCATTATTTTAGAACTTTTAAAACAAGATATTTTATCTCAGTTTAAAGATAGACATTTTCTTCCTTAATTGAGGCTCCCATATATAATTTGCTTTTTCTACATCAGTGGTTTACAACCCCAGCATCTTCCTAATGCCTGAGCTTTAACTCTCAAAATTCCAGCAGTTAAAGTATACATATCTGGAATTTACCAAGTTTGTGTAACTCTATTATTGCTACATGTTACTATTTACTATCCATATACAAATAAATGCACAGAGTACAGGGAACAAACAAGACAAACTAGAAAATGTAATGCAGGAAAGTGAATACAATTTAATGTAACATTGGTGGCCAAAAACTGAACGGAATGCAAGGACTGAAGGGTATATCTTATTTAATGGAATGGGCCAGACTAAAGGATTAAGAATATCTATCTATCTATCTATCTATCTATCTATCTATCTATCTATCTATCTATCTATCTATCCATCCATCCATCCATCCATCCATCCATCAGAAAGAGCCATGGTGGTGCAGTGGTTAGAATGCAGTACTGCAGGCTACTTCTGCTGACTGCCAGCTCACTGCAATTTGGCAATTCAAATCTCACCAATGTTGACTCAGCTTCCATCCTTCTGAGGTCGGTAAAATGAGGACCCAGATTGTTGGGTCCTCTGTAAAAACCGCTTAGAGCGCACTGTAAAAGCATTGTGAAGCGGTATATAAATCAGTGCTATTGCTATCTATCTATCTGTCTGTCTGTCTGTCTATCATCCATCTTCCCCACAGACTTTGCTTGTCAGAAGCTGGCTGGGAAGGTTACAAAAGGTGATCACATGACTCTGGGACAGTGCAACTATCATAAATATATGCAAATTGCAAAGTACCCAAATTTTGACACGTGGGGATGCTGCAATGGTCATAACCATGGAAACTCAGTTAATAACTCATTTTTTTCAGTGCCATTGTAACATCAAATGGTCACTAAATGAACGATGGTCAACCTGAATCTCCATGTGAAAAGGGCAGCATTAAAGCAACTGCCATCAGCAATCAATGCTTTGGCAAAAGCAGATTAATCTTCACAACATTCAGTCTCTGTCTGTTCTCAAATACATGGGGTTGAAAAGTTTATGTTCATTTGAAATCAGTGCTTTTCCGAGGCAGGCGTAATCACGTCTGCACAACAGGGTCAGTAAACGGCTCCCTTCTTACCGAAGTGATGACTAAACCCATTTCCACTTACAATTCCGAATATAGCAGCCAGAAAGGGATGATTTTGTCAGTAGTTCCCTCCCAAGTTCCTGCAGTTTGTTGTAGCCTTCTGTCCCACAGGCCGCCAAGGCTCCCTGGTCACCAGGGAAGGCGTACGTGGCCTGCCCATCCGAGGAGCTGGTGTTGCTACTCCGAACCTCGGACAGCTGGTTCTTCACATCGGACATTTTACTCCGTACTTCAGCCATCTGACTTTTCAACCTCTTCAGCATTTTCAAGTCTGGTGGGACGCGCCACATGGCCTGGTGCCTCCGGTGGTCTTTCTCTGTTAAAGAGCAGGACGGTTAACAGAGAGGAAACAGGAAGAATGTTCAAGCTCTCCAAAAACGTTTCAAGGACACCTCATGGTAGCATCCACAGGGGTTATGGCCTTAGTTATAGGATTTAATTTGCACAGAACTCTGCCACTGCTAGTCCTAAACCTGGATGAGATGGGGGGGGGGGGGGGGGGGAGATCTCATTCGTACAGAATCCCCTAACAGTGAAACAAGTGGCATATAAATTCAATTTAAAAAATAAATAAAGGTGGGGCATTGGTCTAAAAACTTGGTGCTGCAAAATACCAGGGTTCGTGCTGTTCAAGCAGTAAACAATAATCAGTAAACAATACCCCAATCAAGGAACTACCAACTCAGACAAACAAGCTAACCATAAACAACGCCCTAATCAAGGAATCACCAAGAATATTATCAACAACACAGAAAGGGCAGGCAGAGAGCAAGCCCCACCTCCTTTTAGCACTGATGATGTCACCTGCAGGTAATCCTAGACTTACGACCACGACTGAGCCCAAAAGTTCAGTTGCTAAGTGAGACATTTGTTAAATGAGTTTTGCCCGATTTTATGACCTTTCTTGCCACAGTTGTTAATTGAAGCACGGCGATTGTTAAGTTAGTGACACGGTCATTAAGTGAATCTGTCTTCCCCATTGACTTTCCTTGTCAGAAGGCCCCAAAAGGGGATCCCATGATGCCGGGACATTAAAACCGTCATAAAGATGAGTCACTTGTCAAGCATCTGAATTTTGATCATTTTGACCATGGGGGTGCCACAACGGTCCTAAGTGTGAGAAGCGGTCATGAACTTTTTTCAGTGTCATTGTAACGTTGAACAGTCACTAAATGAACTCTTGTACATCGAGGATTACCTGTATTTGGGTAATCCTGCATGATTACGTCTGCAAGAAAATAACCAAGCTACGATTATTTCTTTTAGCAATGACTTGCTAACCAAAGCCTTATACAAGACCTGAACACTAGTTGAGACTTAACTCTTTGATTGCACATCCATAAGGAGACCACATATGTAATGTTTACTGGATTAAATTTATTAGGGTGTATTTAGTATCAAATTAAAATTGTGTTTAGTATCAAATTAGAACTGCAGAAAAAACAATGGCTACCAACCTGCCTTACATCAAGGACCTGTGTCCTGCACGAGTCAAAAAGAGGCCTGTGAAAATATCTACAGACCCCTCACATCCTGGACATAAACTGTTTCAACTCCTTCCCTCAAAATAACACTATAGAGCACTGCACACCAGAACAACACAAGGACAGTTTTTCCCCAAAGGCCTCTGCTAAACAACTAATTCTCACAACACTGTCAAACTATTACTAAGACTGCATTACTATTATTCTTCTCATCCTTCCTATTACCTCTCTCTCCTTTTCTGCTTATGACTATAACCTTGTTGCTTGTATCTTTATGATTTATATTGTTTTATTTGTTCCCTAGTATGATTTGATTGCTTATTTAGTACCCCAGGACTATCAATAAGTGTTGTATCTTATGATTCTTGATGAATTCTTGATGAGAGCTTATGCACCGAAGACAAATTTCTTATGTGTCCAATCACACATGGCCAATAAAGAATTCTATTCTATTCCAAATGAAGCAATATCAAAATACTTTGCAAATGGTCAGTTAGGCAAAGGATGATGGAGTACTGCAGGAATGTAAGGACATGCAGACTGCTGTGACTTTGGGAGGCTCCTAAGTGAGAAAAAAAAAACCAAATTTATAGCAACAAATACTCCCCTAAAAGAAAATCAAATTTGAAATGGCTCACTAGGGATTATAATATCGGACTATAATATGCAACTACCTTGCAATATAGCCCCATTATCTAAGATATCATTTTACTGCAATAGCATTTCAGTAATGGACCAAATCTAGATGAATTTTTCTACCAAACATAAAGGCACCTCTCTGGAGGACAAATCTGCAATAAATTACATAAAAGTAGCATAACCAGAGTGTTTGCTCTAGCTAATGTTTCTCTGCTTCCTGTTAGGCACAGACCTATATTAAAGAAATAAAAATGTTAAGAGAAAAGATCAGCAGCCGAGTCTTCTCTATGTGTAATGACACGCAGTTTACTGTGGAAGATTCTGAAAATATCACAGGGAAGGAAAAGATCTATTCAATTTGCACTGTACAAAGAGTCCTATTTCTGGCTCTTTCGCCTCTCCTTTCCTCCACCCTTCCTCCCATTTCTGGCATGGGTAAAACTAGAGACAAAGGCCTGATGGAGTTGCAGGAGCAGAGAGCTTTTAGGGGCTGGGAGCTGCACAGAGTTTTACACCAAGAGAGCAGAATAAAAGTCATTTGCTACAAGATGGGTAGCAAATAAATATGAAAAATATAAATAAATGAAAAAGTAAATAAATAAAATAAATAAGGACGGGGGAGGGAAAGAGGTTAAAACAAAGAAGGCAGAGAGCGTACTTAATACATTAAATATATAATTAAATTGTAAGTACTTCCACAAGACACAGGAAAAGAAAACCAAAGGAGGCAGGTTAGCATGCAATATTATTTATATCCTCGCCACTATATAATGTTCATTTTTTTAAAAAAATGGAAGATAGCTATGCAAAACTACCTGCATGTATTTAAAAAAGAGAAACCAACACAGCCTTTTCTGTTAAATGGGCTACTTAAAAAGATGGGGTAACATTTTAAAAGATAAGCAAATTCATTCAAAACTATTGATTGTGATAGATAGATAGATAGATAGATAGATAGATAGATAGATAGATAGATAGATAGATAGAGATATAGAGAGATAGCTGTCCAGTCATTGACTGAGATGGGAGGCTATAGAAGTTAACTGAATGAATGAACAAATAAATGAATCTTGTACTGTATCATTTTTTTTTAGCATGTGTAGGATATCTATTCACAGGTACCATATTACAGGTACTAAATATTGAATACTGTTTCTGCCTGTTATTTGTGAATTACTACAATTTTAAATATACAGGTAGTGTTCAACTTACAACAGTTTATTTAGTGACCATTCGAAGTTACAATGGCATTGAAAAAAGTGACATGACCGTTTTTCACACTAACAACCATTGCAGAATCTCCCCGGTTATGTGACCAAACTCCAGACACTTTGCAACTCCTATTTATGACAGTTGAAGTGTCCTGGAGGTCTTGTGATCCCCTTTTGAGACCTTCTGGCTAGCAAAGTCAATGGGGAAGTCAGATTTACTTAACAAACCATGTTACTAACTTAACAACCGCAGTGATTCACTTAACAACTTTGTCGCTCAGCAACGGACATTTTGGGCTCAGTTGTGGTCACAAGTCAAGGACTACCTGTAATTCCCTGTTTTCTCATGCACCTGAACCACATGTCGATGTATTCATTGTCTGTGGAAGTTTAAATAGTTCCGACTTTCTAAAATTTATTCTTAGTAACTTCAGGTTTTTAGACTCTCCCTAATTTCAGAGGGGAACTTTATTTTCATTGAATTAATATACTGTCAGGAATCACATCTTAAGAATAATCTCCAAGAAAAAAACAGCTCCTTTGAAGGGGATTCCCAAAGTGAGAAATGGGTCTAATTTTTAGTCTCTCTCTAGAAAGGGTGAACGCTTCTTCACAGAGCTTTCTGTCCCTTCATCTCCCCTACTCACTCACCTCTATTCTGCAAAAGTGAGGCAGGTGGGCGTGGCTGTAGATTCCACAGGTTTTCCATCACATTTCTGTCTTTCAGGTCCAGCAAATGGATTAATATTAAGGGATCTATATCAAGCAAGCTGCTACTGGCAGAAGTGAGCGCACTTCCTCCTCGCCTTGACAAGTGGCTGGATGTTGTGCGGTAGGCATGGCTCCCACCTGCAGGAGGAGGAGGAGGAAGGAGAAAGGAGAAAAAGAGAAGTGAGTAGTAGTTTATAACTATTTTAGGCACCCAGTAATTCTTAGACATCATCTAGAGTTGGACAATCTTATTAGCATTGCCTCTAACAGTGAAATCAACTGTGAACACTAGCAAACCTGTACCTAAAACAGACCCATAAAGAAGGAAATGACCATATTAGATCATTTTGTGGAGAGACACGAGATTTCCCCCCACAAATACAAAAAACGGTCTAACATGGTCTCAAAATCTTGTACTTGGGAAGACAGAAATGCAGAGAATATTTGTTTCTTGATACATTTAGAAACTTAGTTTTTCAATTTTTAGTTTACTTTATTGTCATTGCACCGCGTACAACGAAATCAAACACCATCTTCAGTGCACATCATGACCATGAAAATAAACACAAACACACATCCTTCACCCTTCACACATTGAACCGGAAACCCCCAACACCACACCAACACTGCACTATACAGCAGAATTCAAAAGAGCTACTGCCCTGGGATAGAAGCTATTAAGAAAAGGAAGTAGAATCTATATAGCCAACAATTACAAAGTATAAAATGATTGGTTTATTTGATTTTCTAACATTCAAAACGGGCGTGCTAGACATGGATAGATCTCCAAATGGTGCTAAATAGGGGATATGAGCCATCACAAGAATGAAAAGACAAGAACCCTTTCCCTGTTGACGCATGACAGTTTTAAACGTCCTTAAAAATAAAGATGTAAAAAAATCCATATCAATCAGCAAATAGCTGAAACCAAATTATCAAACCAACTTGCCTCCACAAGTTGTGGATGCTCCAACACGGGCAATTTTAAAGGAGAGACTGGACAGCCTGAAATGGTATAGTGTTTACTGCCTGAGCAGGGGGTTGGACTAGAAGACCTCCAAGGTCCCTTCCAACTCTGTTATTCGGTTATTAAACAATGTTAAGAAATGGAACTGCAGATATGAAGGAATGGGGAGGATCAGGAACAAAATTGAAAATCTCGAAAACAGTAGAAAATCAACCATCGCCCAATAATCATTAAAAATATTTAAAACAATAAAAGTATTATGTTATTAAGCTATTTAAATTGTTAATTAGGAGGTCTCTTGTCTTCCCTGTTATGAGCTCTTTTTAAAAAGGAAGAAAAAAAAGTTGGGTAGTATTACCCCTGCTGATAAGTAATGTAGAATTAATTTAATAATGGATTAATTTAACTGGGAAGTCAAGTTCCCATTTTAAAGCTCCCTAAAAACAGGTGATTAAGAACAAGGAAGGAACAGAATGGGAGATCCTTCCAAATGAGTGGGCTACAGAGACTATTAACCGACGATTTCATCAAACATTTAGAAAACTAAATAATGCATTCAATCACTTTGCTCGGAGACTTCATGTCTCCATTTCTGCTGTTGTAAAAGAGGTGGTATTAATCAGCTAAATATAAATTAATTTCTCGGCTCACAAGAAATTCTGTCAAAGGTATAATTTGCCTGCCATATGCCATTGATTGTTATCTTAAGGCACAAAAGGATTTTGACAGTTGTAAATGGAACTGTAATATGAAAGTACAGATGTCCTATATATCCACATTTTCAGCATAACTTTACCAGCCTTGCAGTGCTTGTTTAAAAACAGTTATTATTAAAAAGTCTCAGCAAATATAGGTAGTCAATTTACAACAGCTCATGAAGGGACCATTCGAAGTTACAATGGCACTGAAAAAAGTGACTTATGACCATTTTTCACACTTACAACCATTGCAGTATCACAGCAGTCACATGATCAAAATTCAAGACACTTGGCAACTAATTCATATTTATGATCGTTGCAGTGTACTGAGGGGTCCTGTGATCTCCTTTTGTGACCTTCTGGCTAGCAAAGTCAATGGGGAAATCAGATTCACTTAACAACCATGTTACTAACTTAACAACTGCATAATGTGGCAAGAAAAATAGTAAAATGGGACAAAACTCACTTAACAAATTTCTCACTTAACAACATAAATTTGGGGCTCAATTGTGGTCAGAAGTTCAGGACTGCCTGTATAAAAATATGTTTCTGAATTACATTCAAATCAACAATAGATAGATTTATTGAAATTCTTCTCTACCTGCTACTGAAAAAAAATCTCATTTATTTAAATTCTTCTCTACTTACTACCTGAAGTATCTCCTCCCACAGTAAGAGGATGTACATCAGAAGAACATCAGAAGTTTTAAATGAAGGTATTAAATCTTTGGGTTATAAAGACACGAAGTCCCAAGGACAATCTTTTCCTTGAAGTGTGGCAAATCTCTCAAAAACTCACATTTCTCTGATAGCCTTCCTCAAAACGTAATCTCACAGCTAGTATTATACCGACATGCTTTTTATTTTTTTTAATCCCAGTTGCAAGCCAATGGGACGACTGCCCTACATTAAATAATCTCTACATATGATATGTGATGCAGCAGTTCCAAAAATAGAAAATCCTACAGGATCCCCAACTCCATGTGGCTTCTGATGAGAGCAAAGGAGGAAGGGATACTTTATACAGGTATGCCATTATAAAAAGCATTTTCTCCACGTATACCTGAAGCACCTGCTGAGGCAGATGTGGCTTCTTCCACAAGGTCTCCTTCCTCCAATTCCATGTTATGAGTGTATTCCACGTCATTCTCTCCAGACCTTGAAGGCAAAGTAAAATCACAAAGTTTTTGCTAAGCTTCAGGTTTGAGAAAAAGTTTGTTCTATAAATAGGGTTTGAAGAATTCTAAATTGCAGGGGAATTATTAGTTGCACTGAAATCACAATTTCACTGGAATGAGATAAAATCCTAAGTTCGTCTGCACTCAGGGGCAGCTGCAACACAACATAGAAACAGTGACCTGTGGTATTGGAATGGATTATACTAGTGGTTCTCAATCTGATGGGCCACCATGTCATCACAGGGTGTTCAGAGGCTTCAAGAAATGATATGATTTAAATCTTGAATTAAGTCCTGGTGGTTTGTGGCCATGGCCACAAAAAGGGTGTCCATGGTAAAGGAGAGGTTGAAAACCACTGGACTATACCATTTCAGAGAGAAAATCATAAAATATATAACCCAGAGATACATAACCCTATTTAAGGTGACCCTAAAGCGTTTTTCTCGCCATATACATGTATACAGCTGAACTAGACTGTTGTTTCTCTTCTATATATGTGGGCATATGCACATTTATTTATTTATTTAGCCATGTTTATGTAGTGTATATTGGAGCTGGTGACCTTTTGAGAGCTGTATGCAATGAAATTTCATTTTGATGTATGCTCATTAGGGTACATTCAAAGTGACAATAAGTCTTAAGTTTAAGTGGTGGATTTTTATATCTGAAGTAAAGTTGGTTAGATCAGGTGATTGAAGATCTCCTTTTAGAATACAGGTAGTCCTCGACTTATGACCACAACTGAGCCCAAAATTTCCACTGCTAAGCGAGGCAGTTGTTAAGTGAATCATGAGGTTTTTAAATGAATCTGGCCACCCCCATGTCACATTGCTTGGCGGTAACCAGCTGGGAAGGTTACAAACGGTGATCATATGACCCTGGGACAGAGCAAGTGACGTAAATACGTTCCAGTTGCCAATTGCCCAAATTTTGATCATGTGACTGTGGGAATGCTCACGACTGTGGGAAGTCGTGAGAGTGAAAATTTGCCATGAGTCAATTTTTTTTCAATTCCCTTGTTAACTTCGAACAGTTAATAAATGAATGGTTGTAAGTCGAGGAATACCTGCACTTTATAAATTCAACAACGAAACAAAAGGAGAGGAAATCAAAAGGGGGAAAAAAGGAAATTCTGAACTCTGAGGGAGATGGGTGGTTAAGAGGAACAAAATATAAATAAATATAGATAAGTAAAAAGTGTTTCAGTGGCATATACATGAGAAGTGGCTGAAAATAGTTCAGCTAAGTTTGATCCTCTAGAGCCGGGGTGGGCTGGTATCAGTTAGCGGCCTGTTAGGAACTGGGCTGTGGAATTGCACCGGATCTAGATACCGCGTGAAACCATTCCCCACCCCCACCCCCTACTCTTCGGTGGAACAAATGCTTTTTCTGGAAACTGGTCTCTGGTTCCAAAAAGTTTGGGGACCTCTGCTCAATCCCATCACCCCAGCCACCTCTCTAAGTATGACAACTTGTTTCCATTAAATTGTGGGTGCTCCATCAGTGGAGGTTTTTAAGAAGAGATTGGACAACTATTTGTCTCGAATGATATAGGGTTTCCTTCTTGAGCAGGAGGTTGGACTAAATGACCTCCAAGCCCCCCCCTCCAAAAAAACAACTGTTATTCTGAGAGAGTTAACACCAATTTTTGAAGAGAATATTTATCTATCCCTTATTTAGAATGTCCCTTTCATCCGTGAAATTCTATGTATTTATCTATAAAAGATCTCTGGCTTTCCAATCTGATTGTCAGGTTTACAATTAAAGTGCTTCCCAAGGCAGCTTAAATATATGGATTAGTTGCAGTCCAATCCTACGCACAGGAAGCCTCACCAAGTTGAGAGGATGTGGGAAAAAAATATCTCGGCTTTAGGCTTATATGAACATTAAGCCTTCCCGGTGACAGTTTTGGAACATCGCTGAAGGGTTGGGGATTTTTTTTTCTTCCACCCCTACTCAAGAGACGTGAAAGGGAATTTACACATCAACAGACGCAGGGAAGGGAAATCCCGGCTGTGACTTACATGGTCTCTTCGTCTATGTCGTTCTCCTCCGTGTTGCTGGTGGCTGTTGAGCTCACGGAGGAGCTGCTGCCGTCCAAATGGTTTGCCTCATCTTGCCCCACAAAATCAACATCCAGATCCCCGTCGGAGAGTTCGTGCTGCAATTAGAGAGAGATTTGGAAAGAAAATAATTCACTTTGAGTAAGAGCTGCAAAGAAAGCAGCAACCCTCACACAAACAGTTAATTAGAAAGGAAAATATATGACCCTGAAAATCAGCTTCCATAGGGACACTTCAAATCCTCTGTTTATAAAGCCAAAGAGATGAATTAGAGGTAGTCCTTGACTTACTACAGTTCATTTAGTGACTGTTCAAAGTTACAACAGCACTGAAAAAAAATGATGAAGTTTTTCACACTTACGTCCGTTGCAGCATCTCCATGGTCCTGTGATCAAAATTCAGACGCTTGGCAACTGACTCATATTTATGACGGTTGCAATGTCTTGTGGTCATACAATCCCCTTTTGCGACCTTCTGACAAGGGAAATCAATGGGGGAGCCAGATTCACTTAACCACTGTGTTGCTAACTTCACAACTGCAGATTCACTTAACAACTGTGGCAAGAAAGGTGATAAAATGGGGCAAAACTCACTTAACACATGTCTTACTTAACAACAGAAAGTTTGGGCTCAATTATGATCCTAAGTCGAGGACTATCTGTAATTCCCTTACTGACATGAGTGGTCAGGGAGAAGGAAGACAAAGCACTGAAATGTATCATTACTGATATCGCAAGTAATCTTTAACAACTTCAGGTAGTCCTCAACTCAGGACCGGACTTTACATTGCTACGCAAGGTGATTGTGAAATAGTTGTGCTTAATTTTATGACCTTTTTTTGCCCCCCCAAAGTTGTTAAGTGAATCACTGCAAGTCCAGGTTCCTGCATTGACTGCTGATCGGGGAAAGTTGCAAAAGGCGATCGTGTCACCCTAGAATGCTGCAACCATCATTAAATACACCCAGTTGCCAAGCCCCCCAAATTTTGATCATGTGACCAACAGGGATGCTGTGATGGACACAACAAGAGTCTTGCTTAGCAACAGAAACGTTGGGCTCAAAGGTGGACGGACTTGTACTTTCCATTCACTGAGCTGCACAGGTGCTGTTCAGGAGCAACAGCACTTGGACTTATATACCCCTTCACAATACTTTACAGCCCTCCTCTCTAAGTGGTTTACAGAGCCCAACAATCCGGGTCCTCATTTGACCCACCTCGGAAGGGTGGAAGTCTGAGTCAACCTTGAGCCTGAGGAGATTCGATCTGCCAAACTACTGGCAGCCAGTGATCAGCAGAAGCAGCCTGCAGTACTGCAGTTTAACCACTACGCCACCGTGGCTCTTCCGTAGGCAGTAAATTCATTGGAACAGGGGGCAAGAATGCAGGTAGTCCTCGAGTTACGAACGTAACGGAGCCTGCCCATTCCATTCGTAACCCGAGGATTCGTGGGAGTGAATTTTGTACCTTGAACAGGATGGCTCCCTCCTTTCGCCCACACGTTCGCTAATCAAATGCGTCATTCGTGAATCGCACATGAGGTATTTCAGGGTGGGGAAGGCCAAGTGGGGGGGGGGGGATGCTAGTGATGAAACAGGCCACCTGCTTAAGACCACCCAAGATCTCCCCGACCCACTGAAATACCTCATGCTCCCCACAACTGCTTCCCCCACCACTCAACCTGCCACACTGGGTCACCCTGCGAAGATCTAACAGGCCGTCTCTTCTCCAGCCTCTCAGCTACATGCTCCCCTCCTCCGATGGTCCTTTTAGGCCTGCGCAGGCCTCGCCCGGCACTTGGCAGCCCGAGTTCAGTTTTAGCCAGCGAAGTGCAGGATGAATGTTGCAGCAGCCTCTGTGGTTGTTCGTAAGGATGAGCGACTGCCGTGGTGCTGCAGGGTTCGTCATTTCGGAACTTGTTTGTAAACGCTAGGCAGCACTTAAAAGCGTAACTTCAAATGTTCGCTCAGGGAAGGCTCGTCACCCGGGGACTACCTGTACTTACGTTAAAGTCTTCATATTGGACTTTTTCCTCCTCTTCTTGTTTTGTGTCTCTGGGAGGCGCTGTGCCGGCCACGGCTTCAAGAAGCACTTCTGCGTTTGGTCCCGATTTCTTTGGTCTCGTTTCCGGGCCCTCATCGCTTTGTGGGCTGAGGTGAGTATCAGGAGAGGAGACGCCGTGGGATTTCTGGATCCGGGAAAGCTCGATCGCAAGCCTCTTCGTTTTTTTAAACAAGTAAGCAAAAAAGAGGGGGGGGGGAAACAGACACTGAAAAGTTGTGTTGATGGGATTTTTGAAAGCAGCGAGAGCAGGACCCGACCCAAACTAAGATGCTCCAATTTGGGAGCATCACTGGTCCAAGAGTCCTCTGTGAAGACAATACCGAATCAGGTCTTTTTCTAGAATTTTTGAAATGTTTAAGAATTTAAAAGTAGTTAAAACAGATGATTTAATAATGGGAAACCACGAAGGGATAAAAAAATGTTGGGAAATCAAAGGGGGGGGGAAGGAAATTCTGAACTCTGAGGGAGATGGGTGGTTAAGAGGAACAAAATATAAAGAAATGTAGATCAGTAAAAAGTGTTTCAGTGGCATATACATGAGAAGTGGCTGAATTATATACAGAATTTAGGTGCAAAATGATTTAGGTTAATCTAAGTAAAAATTACCTTAAAACGTGTACGCAAAAACACATGCCTGCATTTGAAAGATTAAATAATCTTATGTCGTTTGTTCGTAACTGACTATCCACCTTCCCATCCTCCAGCTCTCTCTTCTCTGAAGGGTCCTTGGTGCTTTCTTGAGCTTGCAGATGTTTCAATACCTAAACTAGGTAACTTCATCACCTAGTTGGGTAATGAAATGTCTGCAAGGAAACAACCAAGCTCAGAGAGCACCAAGGACCCCTCAGTTCAGCGCGGAGCTACACCTGTTCTCCTTTATCTGTCTTCTCTACTGCAAAAGAAACCAGGTAACAGAAATGGGTGATACAAACGCTTTCCTCCACCTGGTCTCCACAATGCACAACAGATTGCTACAGTCGGTTAGACTCAGCTTCTGGACCCGTGAGGTTAAACAGAATAGTAAGAGTTGGAAGGGACCTTGGAGGACTTCTAGTCCCACCCCTGGCTCAAGCAGGGAACTCTGTACCATTTCAGACAAGTGGTTGTCCCATCTCTTCTTGAAAACTCCCAGTGATGGAGCAGCCACAATTTCTGGAGGCAAGTCTTCCCACTGATTGTTCTCACCGTCCTAATTCTAATTTTTATGTTCAATTCCTGTTCTAATTTTTCCAACAGCCAACCATTAAAAACAAAGCATTTAAACTGGCTATCATCAGAATTTCCATGACACGTATTCAACGAGGCACATGTAGGGTTTGAGACCTGAAGTTTAAAAGGTGTTTCAGGGATGAGGAGGTGCATACACCAATCCTGCTGCCTCATGCTTAAAATGCTACACTTTTTCTTGGGCTCATCTCAAAGCCTGAAATTCCCAAAAAAGGACATGCCTGAATTAAGGAGGTACAAAAGCATGCTCAGGCCTACTCTAAAATACTTTGTCGCCTAGCGTACTGTCGACAGCCTTTACCAACCAGGTACCTTCTAAATATAATGAAATAAGTACAAGTGCAAACAGTGTCGATTTTGGCTAGGGAATTATGACCAAAAACATCCAAGAAGCACCAGACAGGGAAAGTGGTGTTCATAATAATACTAAGCGAGATAAGTCAGGTTTTTTTTAAATACAGGTAATCCTCGACTTATGACAATTGGTACCAGAATTTCCACTGCTAAACAAATGCACATCCATTTTTACAATCATTTTGTTGCCACAATTGTTAAATGAATTGCTGCAGTTAAGTGATGCACGTGGCCGTTAAGCAAATCTTGGTTCCCTCATTGACGTTGCTTGTAGACTTATATACTACTTCATAGTGCAATGGTGATCACATGACCCCAGAAGGCTGCAACTGTGAATTGCAGGTTGCTAAGTGCTTGAATTTTGACCATGTGACTGTGGGAATGCTGCCATGGTCGTAAAGGTGAGGACCAGTCCTAAGTCAATTTTTCAGTGCCATAATAACTTCGAAAGGTCACTAAACAAGTGGTTGTAAGTCAAGGATTATCTTTATATCCTTAGCTTGAACCTTTTTACACATACTTCCAAGTTTGAATTAGAAAAAAAGGAACACATATCAGTTATTAAAATCTTGGGAAGGCAATACAACATAGAAAAGGAGAATAAGCAGTGTTAGTATTTTAATGCTTTAATCCAATTTCATGGTTTTAATATGATTTACGTGTTGTTTTAACTTTTGATTGGGAACAGTCCAAAGTTGGTTAGAAGATAGATGGCTATGTATAAATGTTTTAAATAAATAAATATTTATGTATTGTGTGCAGGTACTGCTTACCTCTTTCAGATTATTTATTTGCTGGACGTGGCTTGTTTGAGCAGCTTCCAGCTGAGAAATGTACCAGTACTGATCCCGACATTTCTGGAAGAATGTAGGTGAACGCACCTGGAACCTTTAGAAGAAAGAGCATGTCAAAAGGTTCACCAAGCTTACTCCAAAAAAATGCAACTCATTTCAGCATTTGGATTCTCTCCAACTTCCTCCAGTATGTGTATCCTTCCATAGCCCAAACAAGACAGTGTTATTAGGAGAAGCAGGACTGTGTTATCCAGCACTATCTCATTTACTTGAAGGGATTAGGGCTTTAAACTGCATTCAGTTAATTAAACTGGCTAATGCTAAAATGTCACTCTTTGTTTATTGACGCTTGTTTACTTGGCTTCTGAAATGGGACTGGGAAAATTGTATTTCCTTTCAACACTTAAGTGCTAGCTGTTATTCGTTAAGCTGCAAATAATCCCAATAAGGAATCTGCTAAGAGATTTAAGCGATTATCTAATTTTGCTTAGGGACCACCAAGTCATTTGTATTTAACATTTATATGCCATTCTTAAAAAAAACAGATTTTCCCAGGATGACTTACAACAAACTAAAATGTTCTAAAACAATCAAGCTATTCATTGAAACATTATAATTAAAATGGGTAACATAGAAAAAGGAGCAATAAAAGGAGCAATAAAAGATTAAAATGTACCTGGCACAGAAAAGATAATAAGGTCTGCAGGAACCAATTTGGATCGGTCAACGGCACCAGAGGTTTTGTCTTCTGAGCTTTCAGACTTGTGCTGGAGCCCATCTTTACAGAACTTCTTTCTAGCTTGGAAGACCTCCGGTCCCGGGGCCGACTCAGATTGGATCCTGCAACATTATCCTGGGACACATATTATTTGCCTTCATTCATAATAAAAGTCTTGCCTCAAACAGTCACGTATCAACAATATTCCAGCGAAGAAGGGCTACCCATGAAAAGAGCCCCTCTTCTTATCTTTGAAGCCTACACATTTAAGACCAAGAGCCCCTAATGTAGCCCAGGTTTTGATGGCCATGAAGCCCAACTATGATGCCTTTTCATAGTCTTTCTTACCGTAATATGACCGTGTCATTCTGCCTGTTCAAATAGCCTTCATTGGCAAGCAAATCCAGTCGGAAAAACCTGTTGTAACCCCAGCATTCCCCAACTTCAAAATCAGATGCAAATTCTCTAATGATGTTTTTGGCAGGGTCATTAGTGGATTGATGGACCATCTCAACACGATATTCATATCTGGAAGGAAGGAAGGGAACAGCATTTCATTCTTTCTGTATTATATCTGTGCATTCCCATATTTTCCCCAGGTAATCTTCAGATGAACTTGGGTGGATATAATAAGATGCAATGAGAAGGAAATATTGGTGCCCAAAAAAATGAATTACATAAATGGAAATTTAATCCGATGAGCAAAGTCAATAGGAAATCCAAATTTACCTAATAACTGCATGATTCATTAAACGATTGCAGCAAAAAAAAAAAAAAGGTAAAATCAGGTGCAACTTTCTTAAAGACTGCATCACTTAGCGATCCAATCCCAACTGTGGTCATACATCAAGGACTACCGATACTCAGATTGATATAATAATGTATCTTGCCATAGAAATTCAGAATTTTAAGTTTCTTTATGCAATGTTATTTCATTCATTCATGCTATTTTTATATACTGTATCCCATTTGCCCAAAGATGCTTTTTTTAACAAGTGGATTTTTTCCCCCTTGAAAATGTTTCACTTCTCATCCAAGAAGCTTCTTCAGTTCCCCATAGACATGCATCCCATTTATATTTATATGCATCTGAGGTACATACAGAGCAATAATAATTGCAACCAATCTCAGGGAGCGACAACCAGTTTTCTGGCTCTCAGTACATTCCTACATGTGTCACTGAAAACTAAAACACAACAAAAGGCCAACATTTGGGCAGGTCGGGGGGGAGAACAGAAAAGACATCCTTACACCGGTAGTCTTAAAAAATTTTGTTTAGTGATTGTTCAAAGTAACAATGGCACTGAACAAAGTGACTTATGACCATTGCAGCATCCCCGTGGTCACGTGATCAAAGTTCAGATGCTTGAAAACTGGTTCATATTTATGACGGTTGCAGTATCCCAGGGTCATGTGACCATCTTTTGCGACCTTCTAACAAGCAACGCCAACGAGGAAGCCAGATTCATTTAACAGTCATGTTACTAACCTAACAACCACCGTGATTCACTTAACAAATGTGACAAGAAAAATCGTAAAATGGGGCAAAACTCACTTAACAAATTCCTCACTTTAACAAACATAAATTTTGGGCTCAATTGAGGTCATAAGTTGAGGACTACTTGTATAGAACTAATTTAAAGTTTATAATGCAAAATACATATTTTTCAAAATTTTAGGCACGCATTAATAATTGATAGAGATGTTCTCGACCAAAAGAATACAGTGAATAAAAATCACAGATCTGTTTTCATTGGGCTCATCTTAGACCTACAAAATAACCCAATATCTTACATTATCTGGAAGATTTACAAGATATTAGTATATCTGATGTTTTCAAGGATGCATATTCCAAATTTATATTTTTGTTGAGCGTATAAAATATATATGACATCTTTCATTGGACACATAAACATAAAAGGTACTACTGTGGTGCAAAGCAAAGAAAAAAAAAGAAAAAGAAAGAAAGAAAGAAAGAAAGAAAGAAAGAAAGAAAGAAAGAAAGACATTCAAGTTCTGGCCATCCCACGCAAGACTGTGCATGAAATGCCAAGGGCACTGCAGATGGTGCGGTGCCTTGGCATTAAAATGCCACCAAATGGTTTAAAATGAAAGGAGACAAATAAGTACATAACCAACCTTGGGAACTTATCTGGGAGATTTAAAGTATGCAGTGACAGTTGTACCCTATCTTGAAAAACTGAAGCAATCAAGATAAAAACTAAATCTTACTCTAAATGTCCAAGCTTTCCCAAAAGAAAGAATTCAGATAAAATATATTAAATAGCAAACAGAACCAGGGATCAGGATTTGGGTTTTGGAATGAGGTCTAATACATTATTTTATTTTAGATATCATGACTGTTTTAGAAGAAAGAATCCTCTTTCATGTATGGAAGATAGGCAAATTTCTCAGCGGGACTTCTGTTCCCTCCCAAAGTTAAGATATCTCTCTACAGCAAGTTCAGCACAATCCAGTCCAGGATTCTTAGCTTGCTAGCAATCTTCCAGTATTTGAGGGGCTGCCAGAAAGAGGAGGGGATTAACTTATTTTTCAAAGCACCAGAAGGCAAGACAAGAAACAATGGATGGAAACTAATCAAGGAGAGAAGCAACCTGGAATTAAGGAGAAACTGCCTAACAGTGAGGACAGTTAACCAAAGGAACAGCTTGTCACCAGAAATTGTGGATGCGCCATCACTGGAGGTTTTTAAGAAGAAACTGGATTGCTATTTGTCTGGAATGGAAAAGGCCAGGTCTCCTGCTTGAGCAGCGGGTTGGACTAGAAGACTTCAAAGGGCCCTTCCAACTTTATTCTGATTGGTTGCTAAAAGTGACTGGCAAACAACACGATTTTAAACAACAGAAACCATTTTCCCATATACTGAGAGCAATTGAATAGCCACACATAACAGTCTAGTCTAGTGCAATACTCAGCAGACAGAGCTAATGGACAAAGCCTGCACTTTCAAACTTCTAACAATTTCACATTTAGAAGAGAATATTTGTTGGTCAGGGTTATCCTAGTCCTGATGTTACCTATTTGGGTAATAAAATGTCTGCAAGAAAACAGCCAAGCTCACAGAACACCAAGAACCCTGCAGTTTCACATTTCACAGAACCATTTCCAATCCCGAAGAGAATTTCCGAAGAGTAACTTGAAGAGTACTAATGTTTGCCCATTTCCCTCTTTTCACGTAACTGAAAATTCATTCTTTAGCATTTATATTTTTGTTCACCTTTCTATCCCACTACAATTCAGAGACCCCTAAGGTTTGCATATAGTAGGAAACAAACAAGCAGCAATACAATAATAAAATGCTAAAATAAATTCCGTGCTAGCAGAAAACCACAAACAATAAAAATAGAACAGAAAAAAATGGCTTGATGAAATTTGAAGAGTCTCTGGAACATCTTAAAGCATCCAAAAGGCCACCAAGGAGACGGTTAGCCTGTCTCAGCTGGGATGCTGCTCACACAAAAGCAGCACCTCCTCATTTTAGCTCCCAGAGCTCCCCAAAATGGAGGATCAACAGTAGATTCGTTTTGGTCGATTGAACTGGGCGGGCTGATATCAGATGGAATCGGTGGTCCTGCAAATGCTGTGCTGTGAATCATGTGGAAAGTGCAGCAGAAAAAGATCCGTTTTTTTCACTCTAAGGAAGAACAGTTGAAATGAAACTAACACTTTTCATTTTTCTCTTGTAACTCCTAGCCAGATACTGGAGTTTAGCAGGTTAGATTTATAAAAGTCAAAAGTAACTGTGCCTCCACTTACATTAACACATTATTTAGGGATTGTCATCTGGTAGGACCACAAAAATGGGAATTCTTGGTAGTGGTCTTCTTTCTTTGTGGAAAATCACCCCCCACCCCCAAGATAGAGTTGCCTTCACTAAAATTTTGATTTTGTCAGTGGGCTGGGAACCACAAATTACTGCCAAATAGAGGGTAGGGCAAAAGGTTTTTGATAATGGGTATTTATTATATGGTGGGTTTTTTTCCCCAATTTGGTAAGCTGCCTAGAGTAACCAATGTGAGAGTTGGGTGGCTATACAAATTTGTTTAATGAATAATAAATAAAATATGGAACAATTTTCATTGTGAGAAAGGCATGCAGTAGATAATATCAGATGCTTGCATTAGTTCTTACTTGGATGTTTCTGGCAATCCGGCGGAGAGCTCAAGAAATACCGATAAATAGTAGCCACGTACCACTCCATTTCCATCCTTCACACACACAAAAATTAAAACAGAAGTTAGGAATAAATCTGGAGCAATCAAAAGACCTTTTGAAGTTCCTATTTATAGCTCCCTATTGTGACGGAAGTCAACTTTTTATCAGATGCAGAGCTCACCAGAAAGGTAACTCAAGATATTCCCTTGCATCTTTTTTTCTTTCTTGCCTCAAAGAAATGGCTTGTTCACTGAAACATACATCTCTTGTGTCATCTGATACAAAGCACCTGAAGTCAGGACTAAGAAGCAACAGATGGAAACTAATCAAGGAGAGAACCAGCCTAAAACTAAGGAGGAATTTCCGGACAGTGAGAATAAACCAGTGGAATGACTTCCAGAAGTTGTGGGTAGTACTGGAGGTTTCAAGAGATTGGACAGAAATTTGTCTGGGATGGTATATGGCTTCCTGCCTAGCCAGCGGGTTGGGCTACAAGACCTTCAAGATCCCTTCCAACTCTGTTATTCTGTTATCATGTGCTGACAGCTTGAACAAAAAGTCCCCCATAATGAATAAAAGCTCAGAGTTTCTTAGTCAGCAGAATAGCAATAGCAATTGCACTTAAGACTTCTATACCGCTTCACAGTGTTCTATATCCCTCTCTAAGCGGTTTACAGAGTCAGCATATTTCCCCCAACAATCTGGGTCCTCCTTTTATCCATCTCGGAAGGATGAAAGGCTGAGTGACCTTGAGCCAGTAAGACCTGAACTGCCAATATTCATTCAGTAAACAGAACGCAAGAGAAAGCTACAGACATTCTGATCTCAAATGTTCAAATATGAAAAACAGAATCTAGGATGTCTTGTACAAAAGTTAGACAAGCTGTTAAAGCAAGTTATTTTTATCTTGTATCCATTTTTGCTATATTTTCAAACAATTTGTTTGACTAGGAATGGGCTTAAACGTAAAATAATGTCCAAGCTTTCCAAAAACAAGGAATTCAGGGAAGTAGCAATTCTGACATGACTCACTGAGAAAATAATGAGCTTTATTTTTAATAGTCAATGAAAATTACTTGTGGTTAATCTGCTTTTTTAAAGGGAAACAATATAGCATATTATCAATGGTTTTTTTGGCCGATCCATACCAAAATATGTTAATATTTATATTGAGGCTCTATGTTTAGTTTGCATTCATCAAAACATTACATTCAAATATTTACATTTTAAACTCCTGAATTTCAGCAAGTTGAAAAATATACCAGGATTAATTATAGGACTAGAGTACTGAAGTGAATCAGAAGTAATACACTGCTCAAAAAAATAAAGGGAACTCTTAAACAACACAATGTAACTCCAAGTCAATCACACTTCTGTGAAATCAAACTGTCCACTTAGGTAACAACACTGATTGACAATCAATTTCACATGCTGTTGTGCAAATGGAATAGACAACAGGTGGAAAGCATAGGCAGTTAGCAAGACGTCCCCAATAAAGGAGTGGTTCTGCAGGTGGTGACCACTGACCACTTCTCAGTCCCTATGCTTTCTGGCTGATGATTTGGTCACTTTTGAATGCTGGCGGTGCTTTCACTCTAGTGGTAGCATGAGACGGAGTCTACAACCCACACAAGTGGCTCAGGTAGTGCAGCTCATCCAGGATGGCACATCAATGCGAGCTGTGGCAAGAAGGTTTGCTGTGTCTGTCAGCGTAGTGTCCAGAGCATGGAGCCGCTACCAGGAGACAGGCCAGTACATCAGAAGACATGGAGGAAGCCGTAGGAGGGCAACAACCCAGCATCAGGACCGCTACCTCCGCCTTTGTGCAAGGAGGGACAGGAGGAGCACTGCCAGAGCCCTGCAAAATGACCTCCAGCGGGCCACAAATTTGCATGTGGCTGCTCAAACGGTCAGAAACAGACTCCATGAGGGTGGTATGAGGGCCTGATGTCCACAGGTGGGGGTTGTGCTCACAGCCCAACACTGTGCAGGATGTTTGGCATTTGCCAGAGAACACCAAGATTGGCAAATTCGCCACTGGTGCCCTGTGCTCTTCACAGATGAAAGCAGGTTCACACTAAGCACATGTGACAGACGTGACAGGGTCTGGAGACGCCGTGGAGAACATTCTGCTGCCTGCAACATCCTCCAGCATGACCGGTTTGGCAGTGGCTCAGTAATGGTGTGGGGTGGCATTTCTTTAGGGGGCCGCACAGCCCTCCATGTGCTTGCCAGAGGTAGCCTGACTGCCATTAGGTACCGAAATGAGATCCTCAGACCCCTTGTGAGACCATATGTTGGTGCAGTTGGGTTCCTCCTAATGCACGACAATGCTAGACCTCATGTGGCTGGAGTGTGTCAGCAGTTCCTGCAAGACGAAGGCATTGATGCTATGGATTGGCCCACCCGTTCCCCAGACCTGAATCCAATTGAGCACATCTGGGACATCATGTCTCGCTCCATCCACCAATGCCACGTTGCACCACAGACTGTCCAGGAGTTGGGGGATGCTTTAGTCCAGGTGTGGGAGAAGATCCCTCAGGAGACCATCCGCCACCTCATCAGGAGCATGCCCAGGCGTTGTAGGGAGGTCATACAGGCACGTGGAGGCCACACACACTACCGAGCCTCATTTTGACTTGTTTTTAGGACATTACATCAAAGTTGGATCAGCCTGTAGTGTTTTTTTCCACTTTAATTTTGAGTGTAACTCCAAATCCAGACCTCCATGGGTTGCTAAATTTGATTTCCATTGATAATTTTTGTGTAATTTTGTTGTCAGCACATTCAACTATGTAATGAACAAAGTATTTAATAAGAATATTTCATTCATTCAGATCTAGGATGTCTTATTTTTGTGTTCCCTTTATTTTTTTGAGCAGTGTACAAGAATAATTCAAGTATCTCTTAAAGCTATCAATCCTATTTACTTAATTTTTAACATTGCTTGTCTATTTTAAGTTTTATATTTTATATGCTGCTTTTAATGCTTTTAATATTTTATCTGTACACTGTCCAGAGTCCCTCTATGAGGGAGATGGCTGGTTTCTAAATATGATGAATAAATAAAATTAAATAAGTAAATAAACATCAATTACAACTTACTGGATACACTTTTAGCCTCCAGCAAAGCCCAGAAATTTGAAGTGGTGGGCTGTAAACGGGATCTGCTCGCTGGCGTAAAGTGCTATTAAGAAAGTTGAAAAAGAAGAATTTAGCACATAGAATGATAGCAGCCTTTGAATATAGACTCAGGTCCACAAAGCAGCCATTCCTTAATAGCAAAAGCACTGACATTTAGACTTATATGCCACTTCACAGTGCTTTACAGTCAGCATATGGCCCCCAACAATCTGGGTCCTTATTTTACCAACCTCAGAAAGATGGAATGCCGAGTCAACCCTGAGCCAATGAGAATTGAACTACTGGCAGTTGGCAGAATTAGCCTGCAATGCTGCCTTTTAACCACTGCGCCACCATGGCTCTTAAAAGGTTATGCTTTGGATTCTGCTTCAGATAGGGGTATCCCAGGGTATGTGGAGAAACAGATGTAGAGCCAGGATGTCATTCTTTTCAGCAGACACATTTTTTCCTGGAATCCAGGGGCAGTCATCGCAGACCCACCTCTAAAGAATTAATTAGAATTAGGTAATGTTCTTACCTAAAATTTTCCAGGACAAAGGTAGTTGAATCATAAGCAGGAACTAACTCACTGCAGACAAAAAGAAAAAGGACGAGACCCCTATAATATATATATTTTAAAAACTCTTCACACATTTCCTTATTAAACTGCAGTTCCTTCACAGGATTTTTAAAAGGGATGGTAATAGTTTATTAAAATATATGGCCATAAACAAAACATACTGTTTTTAAAATCCATCATACAAACTTCAATACACACCTACGGTACTCATGCAACACATATTACATACACCTGGGTAACAATCAGGTCGAAAAGTTTCTAATCTTCATAGCAATGATACAAAAGTCTGGAGACTTTCTTATTTATTATATTATATGTATTATATATATTATATTATTATATATTTTATATTATATATTATATATATTATATTATTATAACCCCACCTGATTGTTTTTACAAATCATTCAAAGCACATCCAAAACTTTCTTCCTCTTATTTTTCCCACAACTCTCTTTGAAGAAAGTTGGACTGAGAGATGGTGACTGGCCCAAGGCCACCCAGTTGGCTTACATGGCTAAGGTGGAACTAGAACTCCCGGTCTCCTGCTTTCTAGCCTGGTGCTTCCACCACGAAACCAAATTGGATTGTTCAGTAGGCAATGCAGAACTGCTACATTAGAGTGATCCCAAAAATTTCTAATTAAAGAGGAATTTAATTCAGCCCTCTGAAATTGATAGATAGGATATTTCAGAAGCAGGTGCAGATACAGATAATCAGAGTTGGAAGGGACCTTGTAGGTCATCTAGTCCAACCCCCCGCCCAAGCGGGAGACCCTACACCATTTCTGACAAATGGCAGCCCAGTCTCTTCTTGAAAGTCTCAACTGATGGTGCTCCCACAACTTCTGAGGGCAACTTCTGTTCCTTTGGTTGATTGTTCTCACTGTCAGAAAGTTTCTCCTTGTTTCCAGGTTAAATCTCTCCTTGTTCAGTTTCCATCCATTGTTCCTTTAGAAAATAGCTTGACCCCTTCCTCCCTGTGGCAGCCCCTCAAATATTGGAAGACCGCTATCATGTCTCCCCTGGTCCTTCTCTTCACTAGACTAGCCAGGCCCAGTTCCTGCAACCGTTCGTTGTTTTAGCCTCCAGTCCCCTAATCATCCTGGTTGCTCTTCTCTGTACTATTTATAGAGTCTCAACATCTTTTTTATAATGTGGTGACCAAAACTGGATGCAGTACTCTAGGTGTGATCTTACTAAGGCTTTATAGAGTGGTATTAGTACTTCCCTTGATCTTGATTGTATCCCTCTGTTAATACAACTTATGATTGCATTAGCTTTTTTGGCTGCTGCTGCACACTGCTTGCTCATATTTAGCTGGTTGTCCACTAAGACTCCAAGATCCCTCTCAGTTACTGCTATTGAGCCTGGTTTCACCCAGTCTATATGTGTACTTTTCGTTTTTCTTGCCTAAGTGTAGGACTTTACTTTTCTCTATATTGAATTTAGATACGGCCCAGTGTTCTAGTCTGTCAAGATCCATCTGTATCTTGAGCCTATCTTCTTGGGTGTTAGCTATTCCTGCCAGCTTAGTATCATCTGCAAATTTGCTAAGTTCCCCTTCTATTTCCTCATCTAAGTCATTAATGAAGATTTTGAAGAGTACTGGGCCTAAGACTAAACCTTGTGGCACCCCACTGCTTACTTCCCTCCATGTAGACTTAGACCCATTTAGGACTACTCATTAAGTACGTTTGCCAGCCAGTTGCGTGTCCATCTAGTGGTGGTGCTATCTATTCCACTTTTTTCTAGCTTACTAAGAAGTAGGTTGTGGTCTACTTTATCGAACGCCTTGCTGAAATCTAAATATATTATGCCCACAGTATTTTGCTGGTCTATTAATTTAGTCACTGTGTTGAAGAATGAATAAGATTGGTTTGGCATGATCTGTTTTTAACAAACCCGTGCTGACTGCTGGTTATTACTTTAGTTGTTTCTAGATGTTGGCAGATCTGTTTTTTTATTATCTTTTCCAGTATCTTCCCGGGTATTGTTGTTAGGCTGATTGGTCTATAGTTTCCTGGGTCTGGTTTTTTTCCTTTTTTGAAGATGGGAACCACACCAGCTCTTTTCCAGTCCTCTGGTAGTTCCCCGGTGCTCCAGGATTTTTGAAAGATATGGTGCAGTGGTTCTGAGATGACCTCTGCCAGCTCCTTTAAAACTCTGGGATGTAATCCATCAGGCCCCGGTGATTTATTTTCATCAAGATCAGACAGGTGTTCTCTTACTATTTTTTTGCTTATTTTAACTTTTATTTCTGGTCTGTCTTTTACAGTTACGTTTTTGGTGGGTTGAGCTATAGTTTCTTTTTGTGTGAAGACAGAGGCAAAGAATGAGTTACGCAGTTCTGCTTTCTCTCTGTTGCCTGTTACTTCCTTGCCATCTTCTCTCTTTAGTAGACTGACTGTTTCCTTGATTTTTTTCTTGTTATTTATATGTTGGAAGAAACTTTTTTTTATTATCTTTGAATTTTGTTGCAAGTCTTTGTTGGTTCTGAGCCTTTGCTATCCTGACTTCGTCTTTGCAGATTCTGCTTATATTCTGCCTTAGTTGTATGTCCTTCTTTCCATTTTTTGTACTTGTCCTTTTTTTCTTTCAATTTGCCAAAATGATCTGCACTATCATCTCAACTTCAGAATCTGTCTTAGTTTCAAAATACATGAATCTTCTTGGCAAGGAATATCTAGGGGTAACATGATAGCAGTGTTCCAATATTTGAGGAGCTGCCACAAAGAAGAGAGAGGGTCAACCTATTCTCCAAAGCACCTGAAGGCTGGACAAGATGGAAGCTTATCAAGGATAGAAGCAACCTGGAATTAAGGAGAACTTTCCTGACAGTTAAAACAATTGATCAGTGAAACAACTTGCCGCCAAAGTTGTGGGTACTCCCACACTGGAAGTTTTTAAGAAGAGATTGGACAACCGTTTGTGTGAAATGATATAGTATTTCCTGCCTGAGCAGGGGGTTGGACTAGAAGACCTCCAAGGTCCCTTCCAACTTTATTATTCTATTATCACTGTATTTGTCTAAATACCATGGGTGTGGAAGCTTCTCAGAACTGCTAAAAGGAGTGTGGTAAACAGGAGATTGGTGGGTATATCTCCCCTTTTGCCTCATTCACACAAGCTTACCACTGGCTAATCTAAAACAACACTTTCATCTATAACTCAAAGATGCAATTTACAATGCAAAGAAAAAAAAAACTTTGTTTATATTTTCTATTTCTTAATTGCACGTTTTCCTCAGAGAATCATTTAAATTCTTCTTGACTAACGATGCAAACCTCTTCCCCAAAACTCACTAAGCTATAGTGACTAATTATCACAGACGTGTTTTCATTTTTAAAAAAGATGCGTTCCTCACATCCTTTGCGTAAATGCCAGGCCTTATACAAGTTGAGAAGGTTACATGTTTTGATCTCAAGTGCCTTTCATTTATTATGGCTGGCTGGGGAATTCTGAGGTTTGAAGTCCACATGTCTTAAAGGTGCCAAGGTTGAGAAACAGTGATCTAGGTCAAACGCCAACCTGACCCATCATAAATAGCTGAAGTTGTACCTTGTGAAGTCTGGGGGGACAGGAGTGGTGACAAAAGACGCCATGGGCTTCCGGTGTACTTGTTGGAACATCATTAAAATCTCGGCGCTTTTTGAGATCAGCTCACTTTTACTGCACGACCTCAGCTGCAAAGAAAGAAATGGAGCACAAAGATAGGCCCAAGTCAAACAACCACCTTAAAATACAAACTGACCCAGACTGGATCAGCATTATCTTGGGACATGTACAGTATACTTGCCTTCATTTGTGTTAAAATACAAAGCACATAAAATCACAATGAATTCAATGCTAGACTAGAGGGGTTTTTGCTCTGACCCAAACAAGCTCTCTTCACTTTATAAGGTAGTCCTTGACTTACAACCATTTGTCTGAGGGGTCTTTGGTGCTCTCTGAACTTGGTTGCTTTCTTGAAGACATTTCATTACCCAAAGTAGCTAACTAGCACTGACCGTGTTACCTAGTTTGGGCAAGGAAGCTTCTGCAAGAAAACAGCCAAGCTCAGAGAGCACCAGGGACCACTCACTTCAAGCCTGTGCTACAAATATTCTCCTTTATTGGCAACCATTCGCTTAGTGACTGTTCAAAGTTACAACAGCACTGAAAAAGCAACCCGTGACCTATTTTCACACTTACAATTGTTTTAACACCCCCATGGTCACGTGATCAAAATGTGGGTGCTTAACAATTGGTATGTATTTATGACAACTGCAGTCCCAGGGTCATGTGATCACATGTAACCTTCCCACCAGGCATCTGACAAGCAAAGTCGATGGGGGAGGCCAGATTCACTTAACAACCACGAGTCCCTTAACTGCAATGATTTGCTTAACAAATGTGGCAACAAATGGGACAAAACTCACTTAACAACCATCCTGCTTAGCAACGATTGTAAGTTGTAAGTCAAGGACTACCTATACTGCCAGAAAATCATAGACAGAGTTTGTTATTTTAAACATAAAAATAATGTCTGGGTATCCGATCTTAAAATCGTTTTCCTAATATTGAGAATCCACAAAACTAAATCCCATCACCTGATGTTCTACTTCTTGCAGCAAAGACTCCAGAAGTTCCGTTTCTTGGGTGAGTGATGTCTTCTGACCTATTCAGTAGACAAAGAACCAAAATCTAAACAAAATGACACTATGCCAGCACTGTGCACTCAAGCCAAAGAGGCTTTAACACAGGGCCAACTCAAAGGTAGTAATGTTTAACTGTAAGAAGTCCACCATCTGTGTGGGGAAAATCAGAAGGGGCCTAGAGACCAAGACTGGAGAGGCATTGCTTGGCAACAGTGCATACAAGAAGAGACCAGAAGTATTTATTTATTTAATCAAATTTAGAAGTTGCTCCAATCATAACCACAATTCTAGGCAGCTCACAAATACAGGTAGTCCTCAACTTACGACCACAATTGAACCCAGAATTCATGTTGCTAAGTGAGAAATTGGTTAAGTGAGTTTTGTCCCATTTTATCACTTTTCTTGCCACATTTGTTAAGTGAATCCCTGCAGTTGATTAAATTAATGATATGGTTAAGTGAATCTGGCTTCCTCATTGACTTTGTCAGAAGGTCGCAAAAGGGGATCACGCAACCCTGGGAAATTGCAACTGTCATAAATACGTTAAGCATAAATAAATATGTTAAGCATCCAAATGTAAATCACATGACCAAGGGGATGCTGCAACGGTCGTAACAGTGAAAAATGGTCACAAGTCACTTTTTTCAGTGTTGTTGTAACTTTGAGTGGTCACTAAACAAACTGTTGTAACTCGAGGACAACCTGTATAAAAAAGGTCTTTTATGATAAAAAGGACCATTAGGTGAGCATGCACATGCTGTGTGATGTAGCACTAAAAATCCAAGGCAAGGTGGAGCTGTGTTAACAGAAGCACTTGCATTCAGGTGGCAGCAGGTAATAGTTTCATTATGGTCTGTTCTGGTTAGGTCTCTATTTACTTTATATCATATTAGAAACTGTCCATCTCACTCACAGAGCAATTGTGGGCGATGCCCAATTAAAAACATAAAAACCATGTAAAAATATTATCAAAGGATTACATCTAATACTAGGCATCGCACATTAGCAAGGACACAAAGAAATTCCACTGGTCCTGGAGTTTCTTTGTGTCCTTTCTAAAGGTCTCTGGATGATGAGTCAAGAACTGCAATGTGGAACATTTCTTTTGTGGCTGTAAGAGTTAAATAAAGTCAACAAAATATACAACTTTAAAGGGGCAGGGAAGGTTTGGCTTGTAAAAGAAAACCTTAGAGGATATGAGAACGATTTAGGAATATCTAAAAGACTGTCAGATGCAAGACAAGGCAGATCTATTGAAAAGCAGAGCAGGCATTTTGCATCAATTATATATTCTGCTTTCTATGTCTAATTATTTCCATACTTACCAAGTTATAGCTTAATCCTATGCCAAGAGAATTTCTGCTCAGTTCAAGGCTGAGCCATCTTTGACTAATAAGCAACTCAGCCTTTTTATAAAATAATCTACTCCTCCTATTGTTGGAAGATGGGAGGAGACAAACACCTTGTTCATGCATTGTTGCATACTGTGGGGACAAAGCCAATGCCAGAGGCATAAATTAATACATAAATAATCTTGGAGACAGAATGGGAAGTCCCATTTCTTTTGACTCAAATGCACCAAAACATAGTCCTCAATTAATGATAGCAATCGGAATTTCCATTCCTAAGCAACATGCTTGTAAAGCTCAACGCCACATAATCCCATTGGAAATCTCAGAACTTCCAGTTGCCATTGTTAAGCAAATCACCACAGGTTGTTAAGCAACAACTCACGTGGTCACCATTTGTGACCTCCTGCTGGCTTCCCCATCGATTTTCCTTGTAAAAAGCTGGCAAAGAAAGTTGCAAATGGCAACCACATGACTGCAGGATGCTGTGACATCATAATCATGAGCCAGGTACCAAGCCTCCTGACTGCAATCATATGACTGTGGGGATGCTGCAATGTCTGGAAGTTTGAGGACTATCATAAGTACCACTTGTTCAGTGCTGTCATAAATTTGGTCACTGAACAAGTGATGCTTAGTGAGGACCAACTGCACTGTTCAATTAAACCTCACAAACCACTGGCACACACCCCTCCATAAATGAGCAACAAGAGAACATAACCTTCAGCAAAGACACATCTGTCAAGTGCTAAGTTCAATTCCTGTCCTAAAATACTGTATAACACACATCACAAAAAAAGGCAAGCCTACCCATTAGTGTTATAAGTTTGTTCTTCAGCTGGGTATCTAACCTAGCAATCATCATCTCCACAGCGTTCCTGATTTCTCGAACACGTTCATCTTTCGCACTGCGGACCGCTTCGACATTCCTTTCCTGAAAAACACACATGGCATCAATTTAGAACTGCCGGGGGCAGATTTTCTTTGTTTACATGGGAATGGCATTCTAGGTTGTGCAAATCCTTCAACAGAAATGAACTGAATAGGTGGAGAAGCGTACATAGCACCTCCTTCAAAATCATTATAACAGCCACATCTTTCTCTAACTTCAGCAGCTGTTTGCACACGTTCCTGGCTACCTGCACAACCGCTTTGCTTAAATGAAAGAAACAGAGTATTTTTCTTCTTCTATTCAATCACATTTGATCCACAGGAACTGACTGCACAAGTCTCTGCAATTTTCTTGGCAAGGTTTTTCAGAAGTGGTTTTTCCATTGCCTTCTTTTTGGGATTGAGAGAAAGTTACTGGCCCAAGGTCATCTAGATGGCTTTGTGCCTAAGGCAGGACTAGAACTCAGGTTCTCAGTTTCTAGCCTGATGCCTTAACCAGTACATTAACCTGGCTTTCAAAGCATAGGCTGGAATAATTTCTGTGCAGCTAAATGATAAGACTGCCTCAGCTATCACCATTTGGAAAGAGAGAAGCCCACAAACGTATACCTTGCAATGTAAATGCCACTAGGGTTAATGTAAATGTCACTAGGATCTTTTATTCCCCCCCCCCCCCTATGATATATCAGGAGAATAAACCACCTTGGATTACACCTCAGGATTGTTATACATAACTCTAACTCCCCTTCTACACCCAGGAAAACAGGCGCGATTGTTTTATTATTCACTGTCTCTCAACCACAAATATAATAAGTAACCTGGGAGTTGGGAGACATTAAATTGATGGTGCTTTGCTCATTTCTTTTTAAAGGAGCAGCATTAAAAATATTCCCACATTGAAAACATTAACCAGGAAGTCCCTTTTTCTAGAATAAAGGTAGCCCTCGACTCACAACTATTTGTTTAATGACCGTTCAAAGTTACAACAGCAACAGAAAAAAGTGACTTATAATCAGTTCTCAGACTTATGGCTGTTGCAATATCCCCACAGTCAATGCTTGGCAACCAGCATCCATTTATGATGAATACAGGAGTCCTGGGATTGCCATTTGCAACTTTTCCAAGGAACATCTGACAAGCAAGATGAATTAGGGGAAGCCAGATTTGTTTGATGATTGCACAATGCACTTAACAACTGTAGAGATTCACTTAACAACCAAGGGGAAAAGGACGTAAAAGGGGGCATGACTCACTTAACAAATGCCCTGCTGAGTGAAGGAAACTTTAGGTTTAATTGTGATTGTAAACTGAGGGTTATCTGTATTACTTTTTGCAAAGGCCGAAAATGCTAAGCTGGAGATTGAGAGACTCACATCTCTTCTTAGTGAAAGCTTATCTGTTTATTACTGTTTCAACCTGCAAAACAACTATTTCTTTCACCTTGTCCTCCTCTCCCAATTGCCCGAGGTTAGAAACCACCTTCCAACTTCAAACAATGATCTCACTAGGAGGGCTTTGAGAATATGAGAATGATCATCCTCTTTTAATGACCCCATAATCCCTTGCAGGATGGAGTCTAGGCAACTATATGAAGCTGAGTGTTTACTGGTCGGATGCCCTTCCTGTCGCCAATGCGGAGTTTTTGTTCAGCAGATATATTCAAATACGAGAATTATACGTGAACAAAACTGGAAGAGTTGTTCTCACCACTTCTTGTACCAAACTTATCAGCTCCATAAGTCTTCGGCGAAGCTTTGCCACCTCTTCGTTCACTTTTGTGACATGCTGCTCATATATTTCCGCTAAAGGCTTAAAAGTATGTCCGCCGTGCTGTTAGAAAGATACAGATTATGGTAGCTTCATTGTACCAGCTCAAAACACTGTTACCAATGAATCCCAAAGATTATTATTGGAAGAAAGCCCTTTTCAACCTGCTGAATCTGGTTTTTCTTCCAGTCACACTTCTCACAAAAATCTATTCAGGTTCTTAGTGAATACATAACTGAAGTAAAATGTTCTAGCTTGCTGCCTCGTTAAAGAATGTAGATGTCTGAAGTTAATATTTCAGGGGAAAAGATAAATTAACTCCCCAGAAACACTTCTTATAAATGCTTAATTCAAGGTTTAAATAATAAAAGGTATACGGCATGCTTTTCTTGTCAAAGCTGATTTTCATTAATTGATTTTAAATAGCTGCATCTTACATTACATGAACATTATGTCAGCACAGCGGATCAGAGTAAGCCATTTAAGAAATCCCTACCAAAGGGGAATAAGTGTTACCAGGTGTTAAATAGGTGGAGGAAGATTTTCTGATTGTGGTCAGATAAAAACAAAACTTTATATTCTTCTATGAATTTTATACTTGAAGAATTACTTTGTTCTTCAATAACTATATTACAGGTAATTCTTGACTTATTCATTTAGTGACAAAGGCACTGAAAAAAGTAACTTATGACATATCCTCACACTTACAACTGTTGCAGTGTCCCCATGATCACATGATTTAAATTCAGATACTTAAAAACCTGTGTGTGTGTGTGTGTGTGTGTGTGATGGCATAGCTATTTGTCACCTTCTCAGCTGGCTTCTAACAAGCAAAGTCAATGGATGAAGGTAGATTTGCTTAATGACTGAATGATAGTTGTTAATGGAAAAAACATCATAAAACTGGGTGCAACACTTAACAAGTACCTTGCTTAACAATGGAAATTCTGGTTCCAACTGTGATCATGTCAAGGATTAGGTGTAATTTCAAATTAAATTACAAAAAACTCACCTCCTAAATGCTATCCCAAGAAACTAAACCTCTAATCACAACTTTTCAATAACACGGCAGTACTTTTGCTTCTATAAAATAAACATTGTACAGATAACTCTTTGTTCTTCATTTGTACATAATAAGCTTTACTCACCATTCCACCCCAAAGTGCACACTGGTGGCAGATACATTTCTTACATGTCCAGCAAAATACACTAAGCTTTTCATGATGATTTTCACACCTTAAAAAAAAAGGAAAAATTGCAATTAGACAGATGGAACAGCAGCCATTGTACATTTTTTCCTCAATCGTTTTTTTAAATAAAGTTTTATTTGGGTTTTCACACAAAAAATACAAGTAAAACATCTTTTTTGAAAATAGCATGGTCCCGGGTTGAACTTCTTTATACACACACAAAACTCAATTTCATGCTCCTTTTTGTATTCTATTCCATATCTTATACTATTTTACATTTTCTATACAGTTTTTCCCCTCTTTTAATTTTCTCAATTCTATTTTGATGATCTCATCTCAATTCAAATCATTATATTTATACTTTTGTCTGTTCTGTTTCAATTTCATATTATCTTTTCTCATTAAACAAATTTTCTCCTGTAGTTACTAATTGGAGTATGACACCTTTATATCTTTTAATTACATCCATTCAACTCTTATTTAAACTTCAATATATACCTTAAGTTTATGACTTTCAATATAATATATAATACATAACTTCCAATCGAATTCTGCTTGGCACATTCTTATAATACACACTATATATTTTTTTAAAAAAAGAAAGATTGTAAATATATGTAATTATAAACCCTCATTCCATTCCAATTCAGTTCTATCATTAATAATCATTAAAATCTTAACATCTTTAACACTTTTCAATTAAATATCATACTTCCTTAAAAACACATATAATCTCCATAATTAATTTTTCCCTTATTTCTCTTCACACGTTTTATAAATCATTAAATATGCCTTTTGTTACATTTATTTATTGACAAGCATTCCACTGAATTACGAGTTATTTTATCAGACATTTTAATCATACATTGTTTCATATTCTCTAAAATTATTTCTGCTTCTAATATAACCATACTATCTTATGTAGAATCCCTTTTTCCATTAAGTTTTCACCCATTATCTCTAAATAGGCCCTGTTTCTCTATATTTTGCTTCTGTCCTTTATAACTTCTTTTCCTTTCTTTCTTCCCTCTCATCTTCTCCCTCCCCTTTTTACCCCCTTGTCTCTCTAGTTCTAATTCTCTCTTCTGCATTTCCCTCTTCTGTTGCTGTCTGATTTTATACTTATTTTTCACTCTTTTTTTTTTTTGGAGTTGTTTTTCCCAATCTTAAACTTTCCATTCTCTTTCCCCCACTTTCCTTTTTTTCCCCCCATCTAAGATTACTTGTTCATTAAAGATGGCCTCTTCTTTGTCGCAATCTTCTTGTTCTGCAGGCATTTCTTGTTGTTTCTCATAATTCCAAATCTCCGTTTCTAAAAACTGAAATACGAAGCCAAAAGAACCTCTCCCTTCTTGTGCATCTTCATTGTACTTTTTAAGTTCCATTTTCAGTTCTTCTAAAAGTGGAGCCATTTTAAAAAGTTTTAAACAACCACCCGATTGATTTTAGTCATTCAAAACAATAACCAAGAATCCAGAAATCATCAAGTAATCCAGATAGTCCCGAGTTATATCTTCTTCTTTCTTTTTCGACTTTCTCTTCCTGGGGTTTCTGTTGCGATATTTCAGTTAGAATGTATCTTTTGGAAGTCTTCTTGAGATTTTGCTGTAAGTTCTTTTTTAATTCCAGGCAGTCTCCTCCCTTCCAGATCCTACCCTTTTATTCTTTTTCTCTCCTTTCCTGTTTTCAAAAGCTTCTAATTATCCAGAAATCTTTATTATCCCTTTGATTTTTTATTTTCAGCATTAAATGCCTATTGATGTCAAAGTGGATTTTTTTCCAATTTCTTGCTTAAGTCTCTTAGCTGTCAGTATAGGAAAAGGAGAAAACCAAATCTTTTCCCTTTTCTCTCTCCTTCGCAGCTCAAAAATCTTCTTAGGGAACAATGTTACTTTTTTTTTAGTTTCAATTCCAGGGTACCTTATTTGTTGCTTTTGCTGTTTGACCCGGTCAACCAAAACTTTATCTTCTTATCTTGCTCCTGCACATTCTTTTCCGGTCGAGTTCTTCTTTGTGGTGGCCATTTCTGACCACCGCTGCAACCGCCTTTGGGAAAGGGAGTAATGGCCAGCTGGGGAGGAGAGATGCGGCTCTCCTCAACCCTGCTGGCAGTCTCCCCCCTCTTCACCACCTCTACAGGGTGGCTTAGCCCTGAAACCAGCCGGCTCGGGGCGCTCCAGTGGCGAGTACGAATCGAAGCCTCGCAGAGACGAGGTTACGGTCTGTCACTGAAGAAGCTCAAACCGGAAGTCATTTTTTCCTCAATCATTTTAACAAAGTGCCATTAATGAGCTTATTTTTACTTGACATCAGCCAGTGAGCTACAGCTGAAATGCTGATAAAAACAGGAAACAATGTAAAATGACATACATAGAGAAGGTTCAAGTCAGCAATTCAGTTATTATTTTTCTCTGATGTTTTGCAAGTACAGAGTGCTTTTTTACCAGACAAATTCCTTATGTATTTAATAAAACCCTTCTTTTTCTTCTTTTCCTCCTTTCCCTCACTCTATTCCCTTTCCCTTTTTCCCTTGCCTTTTCCCCCATTGTCTTCATTTTCATTTGTATATTCAGAATTTTTTAAATAAAAATTTATGTATTTTAAATTAAGAAAGAAATATATTAAAATACTTGGCCCCTGACTGCTTTTCACAAGCTTCTTGTTCAGTATTTCCATTATCAAGGTGCAGGTTAGTTACACACACAGAAACTGAACGGTTCCAGCTACAATGTTTAGGTTACATCTAAAATGTTCTGCAAGTTAGCTTAGCTTCTCACATAGCTTCTCTACAAAATCACCCCAAAGGCTTTTTATTCTTGCTGCAAAAGGGAAGGCCTTTTATTTTCTATCCTTTCATAAAATGCTTTCTTCTATTCTAGGCAAAATTCCAGGTTGGCAAAAGGACTAGCACGAACTGGATGCTTGGAGGACCACCAACATCCAGCTTGCTTGAATGAAGTCTGCTTTTCTGCTTACATTCCTGACTACAAATTGGCTATCTAAACAGATAGGGGCTTCATAACTTTGGGGTATAAATTGTCCTCAAATGCTGTTCTGGAAGAGCATGTTTATACCCTAGTACTAGGAGCACAGAGATCCAGCTACTTTTCCAACAAATGCTCCTAGATGACAGCTACCAGGTTATCTATGTCATTCTTAATTAAGAATTATAAATCCTGTGCTTAACCTCAGCTCAAGCCTCCCTTGGAGAATGCTTGGCAGGTGATCACTTCCTTGTAAAGCACATTCATTTAGTGAACCTTTCCACTCTAAATTTTGGGTCTGTTTGGTATGCACCAGTGAAGGATACCTACTACCATTGTAGGAATATGAAATTGTGAACTGTGGAATACAAATTTACTACTTGCTGTACAAGTAGGGTTTAAGACCAGTTGCTTAGCTACTGTTCAAAACCAACCCGGAATATGTTACTTATAACCCAGAGTCGAAGTTCCAACATCTGCCCTCCCCCACAGTTAGATGACTATATTTTAGGTGCTTGGCAACTGGCCTGCATTTATGACTGTTTGCAGTGCCCCATAGTCACTTTGATTACAATTTACAACATTTCTGCCAGAAACCTTCCATTTTTCCAGCAAAAAAAAAAAAAGCCACAAAGCTAAAAATGGGTTTGTTTAACAACTGCAGTGTTTGCTTTACAACTGCTGCAAAAAAGGTACTAAAATTAGGTTTGGTCACATGGTAATCCACTATACAATCATCATGATTTACAGTGAAAGTTGTGGGGTCAATTACAGTTCTAAGTCAAAAACTCCATGTAGTGGATGGAGTACATTGTACACTGAAATAGGAGGCAGTATCAGTGTTTTTACTTAACTTTTTGCGGTTCTGTAGTAGAGCCTTCTGGGTTTGTAAAGACAGGCTTGCCTCCCCATGACTGCATCTAAAAATTCTGAAACCCCTGAACTAGAGCAAGTGGGAGGATGATTGGCACACCAATGATACCCTCAATCCATTACAGAAAACAAATGTCACTGTAAATACCAATGTTACATTTTAACATCTCACATAATGCAACTGTACATCCACTCCATATATAGCTGTTTACAGAAGAAAAAAAATCATCGTTTAAAATGTCTGATCATGAACAATTTTAGGGGTATGCATGACAAACCCTTCTGTCAACAGCCGTTTAAATCTACGTACTTGTCTTTTTCATTTTCTTCATGCTTGCTTAAATTACACAACTGGAGTGTGTCAAGTTGCTGGGTCACCTCCTCTGCCCAACGACAGTTGACAAGTTCTCGCAATTGAAGTGGAGCTCTGCAAGGAAAAGTTTTTAGTAAAAATCCTGTTTTTTAGAGGAAAAAAATAGAATTGAAAACAGGAGTTTATGCAGATGCATAAGATTTTTATCCAATATCTCTACCTCTGAAACAGTTAATAAAAACATTATGTTATATATATATATATGGCATTCAGCTTTGTTCGGGTATTTTCCCACGTCATTGTAGTTGTTCTTTTAAAGTTGTAGCAACGTTTCAGCAGAATCTCATCTGCCATCATCAGGCTTCTGTATTGTGTCCGTCTGTGAGTCAGACTTTTACAGTGGTTTCAGATTTGAATTTGGGGCAGCCTATTGCTGTGCCAGAATGGTTTTTTCTTCATCCTGATTGGTTGGGAGTCTTGGTCTGTGTTTATTGGTCTCGGAGTTTGCTGTGTTCTGCTTGATTGGTGTCTCTAATATCTTCTGTCTGT